CGTAAAGTGTCGCTGTGAGTCAGGATCATCATGGCAGTGAGCTTGGTTGTTCTTGGTATTTTGCACTCAGAGCCCATGGGTGGTACCCTCAGGACTTTGGAAGAAAGGCCTGGCAGTCGACCCTCGGGAAAGCCAGGGGTGGCAACCCCCAAAGAGCACAGTTCTACTCTGACACTGTGGAGTTGCCCCGAGTCAGCATCGACTGAGCAGCCACCGACCGGTTTCAGCTTCTTGACGTTGAGCTCCTTTTGGTCTTGAGGGCCTGGGGTGGGTAGGAAGGAGAAATACTGACTAGGGCTTCCAAGCCTGATGGTCAGGGGCAGCTGGTGACTCAGTGGTCAGCTTCCACGTGGCTGACCAAGCCGGGCACCGGGCAGCGGTGGGGTGGGGCGGGGAGGGAAAAGCCGGCCAGGTCAGAATCTCCGATGGGCTACTTTCCACATCCAGGACCCTGACCCGGGTCAGGTTCTGAAGTTCACAAAGGACCTCCGCTGGCGGGAGAGGACAGGAGAAGCAGACAACACTTAGGAACTGGCGGCTGGTTCACAGGCGCGCTTTCCCTTCAAAGGCAGACAAGGCCCCCTTTGCCTTCGTGGGCCTGGGCCCCCACATGGAAGCCACAGCATGGCCGGGGCGGGGGTGAGTGTGTGGGGCAGAGGGTGTGAGCCGCAGGCCCCACACGGTCCAAGTCTTTTAAAGGACTTGTATTAGAAAAATAACCCCATTAAATAATATTGCCCCCCATAAAAGCAGGCTTTTAATGGGTTCCCCCATAGCGCTCCCACCACGGTGGCCCCACTGCCACAGCCCCGGAGCCTGTCTGCCGCCATGGGGAAAATTTAATCTTGCATGGCGGGATCGGGATTTTATAAGTCTGGCGGTGATTTCTGCGCCATCGCCGTGTTGCTGTGTCCTTGTGCACCCAGGGCAACTGCCTTTCACAGTTTACCTCGTTTGGGGTGGAAATGAAGAATGAAGTCGTAAATGAAAGGTAAACACAACACGTGCCCACCTCCCCTCCACCCCCACCCCCCGCCCCCAACCCCCACTCTTCTTGAGGTCCGCAGGAGGAACAAAGAACCAGTGTTTCTCTTTCGGCCTAATCAGATTCTAATGGCTTTCTGTCCTACTGGTATTTGCCCATAGGTGCCCCCTTCCCCAGGGAGGGCCGCAGAGCATGCGGGGAGGTTTGTAAAAGTGGAGACAGGACACCGAGGTCGAGGGTACTTGGAATTGGGCCTTAGTGGGTGGGCGTGGGGCGGAGGGGGCTGTCCAGCGAAGGCTGTCTTGTCGTCTTCCTGATCGCCAGCTCTTTCCCCTGCAGAGCTGCTCGGTGGGTTTGAACTGCCAACCTTTTGCTCAGGAGTCTGAGAACTCTGGTCCAAATCCAGCCGACCACCTGTTGTTTTTGTACCTCCCTGTCATCCAGTTGCGTCCGACTCCTAAGGACCATGTAGGACTGGGGAGAACTGGCCCTGTGGGTTTCCGAGAGGGACACTCCGTATGGAGTCGGAAGCCCCGTCTTTCTCCCTCGGAGCAGCTGGTGGTCTCGAACTGCTGACCACATGGTTTGCAGCCCAATGTGTAACCACGGCAACACCAAGCCTCCTTGTTTTTGTACAGCCCCCAAGAACTGAGTATGGATTCTAGACTTTTAAACAGTGGGGGAGGGGGATCAATATATTTTAAAAAAATCAGAAGAAAATGTCCTGGCACTCCCGACATGTGAGAATTATACGGCATGAAATGCCTGGTGCTCCTGACAGCTCCTGAGGACCCCAGGAGAGGCAGAGTAGGACTGTGCTCCACAGGTTTGAGATTGACTGCCTGGCCTTTCCCCCGTGGCACCCCCCAGGGTGAACCCAACCCCCCACTTCTCTGTTGGCAGCTGGAGGTGTCAACTGCTCACCCCCCCTCAGGGACCCCTCGTTGTCCATAACCCGTGTTAAGGGAACACAGGTGCATCCACTCTTGTCTGTATCAGCTGTGGCCACTGGCATGCTGCAAAGGCAGTGAGTGCCACAGCACTAGAGGCCTCGTGATTTGGAGCCTAAATAGTTTCCATCTGGCCCTGGTGTCCTGGAATTGGTGGGTTCCTCTCGGGGTGTCCATGTGGCCCCAAGTGACAAGCCAGGGGAGAACTGAGTGGGAAGGGGTAGCTTGGCCTGGATCCCTTACAGAACGAATCTGCCAGGCATGCAGAATCTTCCTCATTTCCCCTGGGCCAGCCTTGGTGGCCTTCAAGTTTTGCTTGTGGTCTGGTGACATCTCATCAGATCCTTTGACGGTCACACCTCCCTTGCTGCAGGGCAGCGCTCGGAGCCTGAGGTCTTGGCCATCAGCTGTTAGGACCTGAAAGGCTGGTGGTTCAAACCTACCTAGTGACTCCATCTGAGGCAGAGAGACCTGACAGTCCGATTCCGGAGAGATGACCGCCCGGAAACCCCTGCGGAGCAGCTCTGATCTGTCCCACGGGGTCCCCAGGAGGTCGATCCGCGGTTCTTAAGAACTTCCCAGGCATTGTTTTAAAAACGTGGCGCAGATCAAAATCAAAACACCAAACTCATAGCTGAGTCGAGTCGACACCAACTCAGAGCGACTCCCAAGGACAGAGTAGAATTGCCGCTTGGGTTTTCAAGACTTTACATCCTTACAGGAGTAGGAAGCCTCATCTTTCTCCCATGGAGCCCCTGGTGGGTTCAAACCGCTAACCTTGTGCTTGGCAGCTCAGCTCTCTTACCCCTACCAACCAGCAGTGTAAATCGTGTTCCCGAAAACCCTCTGCAGTGGGGGAAGACGTTCATGGCCGAGAAACCTAAGACCCTCCCCACCCACCACCCACCCCCATGGAAAAGCATCCTTCAAGCAACTGAAACTGAAAAGGGAGCTAGGTACTTACCCATTCTACAATGTCCTGTTACCCATTCCACAATGAAGGCACTGAGAGGTTAGGTAACTTTCCCAAGGACACACAGCTGGAAGAACCAGGGTTGATCCTGAGAATGTCTACTGCGTGGGGAAACACTGCTGCCCTTACACAGGGGTGATGCTGCTGGGCACGAAACAGGGTTAGCCTCCTTGTCCCACCCAGGCCACGGTGATGGCAGTCCAAGGGAAACGTGCCAAACCAAAGTCACTGTGGCTGGGTGAGCCTGTAGCACCGAGGAGAGTGGCCTCTGTGGGTCCCCAAGGCTGGACATCTTCGTCTTTCTCCTGTGGAGCTGATAGTGGGTTCGAACTGCTGACTTGGTGCTCTGTAGCCACCGTGCCACCCATGAAGTCACAAGGGCTTCTCTCCAAAAGAAAACCGCCTCCTGGTCGAAAAGAGAGGTTTCTTCTCGCCTCCCCCCTCTCCCGGCGCCGTGTGAGGTGGGCGTACCTACAGGGGGAATGGAGGTGCTCATGGGAAAAAAACAGAAGGCAAAAATAAATGATGCCTTTCCCTTTGAAATGTGGCTTGTGGTGACCTCCCTGCCATGGGATCTGGAGGGGAATTTTTGCTAATTTTTTCTCCTTTATTACTTGGGAATATCCTGAAGGTTGCAGATGGTTCACACACACTTGGCTGCTACCCAAAGTGGGAGGGCCGAGTCCCCCCAGAGGCAACTCGGAAGAAAGACCTGACCATCTTCCTCACAAAAAAACCAGCCACAGAAAACCCGAGGGAGCCGAGTTCTTTCTACTCAGACGCATAAGGGGTCGCCAGGAGTTGGGATTGACTTGTTGGCATCTGTTTTTAAATGCTAGCCCTGCCCGTCCACTACCACACACCCCATCCTGTGTGCTAGCTCTGCCTGTCCACTACCACACACCCCCTCCTGTGTGCTAACTCTGCCCGTCCACTACCACACCCCCCCTCCTGTGTGCTAACTCTGCCTGTCCACTACCACACCCCCCATCCTTGTGGCCACAATGTCTATATCCTCACTAAAAATAACATCATTCCCAAGAGGC